CGCGGCACTCTCGCGGTCGGAGGAGCGGCAGCCAGGAGCAGCCAGGAGCAGCCAGGAGGATCGAGGAGGATCGAGGAGGAGAATCGAGGGAGGGATCGAGGGGGATCGAGGGGGATCGAGGGGGATCGAGGAGGATCGAGGAAGATAGAGGAGGATCGAGGAGGATCGACGAGGATCGAGGAGGATCGAGGAGGATCGAGGGGGATCGAGGATCATGGGTCTATGCTGGAAAGCCTCCAGCCGCCTCGGAGGCCCTCTTCCTCCCTCCTCCCTCCTCTTCTTCTCCCGCCTCCCTCTCGCCGGAGTCCTGGAGCAGAGGAAGTCGAGGAGGATGGGGAAGAGGAGGGACAAAGGACGGAGGAGGGAGGAGAAAGGAAAGAGGAAGGAGGGAGGAGGGAGGGAGGACAGAGGGAGGAGGGAGGGAAAGAGGGAGAGAGGAGGGAGGAGAAAGGAAAGGGGGGGGCAAGGAGAAAGGAGGGAGGGGAGGCGGGTGGAAGAGAAACTAGCGCTGGACGTAGCGGCGGCGACGGAAGAGCGGAGGAAAGCCGAAGTCGATTACATGTGCGCGTCTGCTGGGAGTACTGGGAGCACGGTCGCGTTACGACTAACAGACAGGATGATGCATTCACATGATCATTCCCCAGTGACCGCTACAGGCTACAGCAAAGGCCACACTTCCAACGCCTATTGGGCATGCACGCCGAGGGAAGCCTGCCGAAGTCAACGACTAGGTGAGACCGGGAAAGCACATCAGTAGTAAACTCGCTGGAACTAACTTTCAAAATAGCTACGGTCGAGCCGCAAATAGCTGAACAAGAAAGTAACACGCAAGAAGAAGATCAGCCCGGAGCAGTGGGGCCTGAAGGAGGAGGAGGAGGAGGAGGACGGTGAAAAGAGGAGCAGGAACGCACGTACCCTGAGAGGAACGGTGCACGATGAAGCTAGGGAGCCGCCTGCGGGGGCACCTCAGGACATGAACGGGTACATAGCAGGAGGACAGGACGAGGATGATGATAAAGGAGGAGACCAAGGACGAGGATGAACAAAGAGGTAGAGAGACACAGGGGGGCGATAAGCAGACGGAACGGCAGCACGAAGACAATGGGGGGAAGGGGGGGAGGTCAGGCCCGCATCGGGGACGAGGGGAAGGAGGCGGACAAGGATAAGCGAGGGAGGAGCAGCAAGAGTCGTAGGAGGAGGAAGGAGAGGGCAGAGGAGGCGGAGCGGCCAAAAAGGCTCAAGCGCCGAACAAATGGGCATGGATAGGAGCAGCCTACACTGGAGATTATGCCCAAGGAAACTTCAGCCTCAGAGCACCGGTCTTGCAAGTCTCATTGTCTTAACTGGTGGCCCAGGTCTGGGAATGCATTATATCTACCAGTCGACCAGAGTAAACACCCACAAACGACAACATTGGCTCGTAATAACAATTACGTAGCATGAGACATGTGTGTCGCTGGTATAATCCTCTATACTTGGAGCACAAGTTTCTTACATAACCGAAGAAAACTCAAGCTCTGAGCTGGAATCTTTTTCATCCGCAAGTTTCATGGGTGCACAGCTGAGCAACTAGTGTGTCGACGCATACAGCCACTCGTCCACAAGCGCGTGCAGGCCACTACCACGCTCAAGCACAAGCTCATCGCGGCTCGACAGCACATATCGGCTCTCATGTAGACTGGCTGGAACATCTCATAGTTGGTGGAATGTATCCTCTCAATAGGCGTGCCTGCAGGAGCTCGTGCTCCTTCCAAAAAGAAAAAGTGGCAGGCTGGTTCCCTAGACCGTGTCTAGCCCCAACTATCCCCCATGCTTCTGGACCTCTCCATGGATCGCGGCGGGTCGGTCCCGTGGCCCGCGTTGTGCCCAGAAATATCCTCATGGCTCTGGGGTCGTCACCAAGGCTCGGGGGGGGTGGCTTACGTGTGATTTGTTGTGTTTGTTTGTGTTTGCTTGTGCCTGCTCGTGCAGTACTTGCTCGTGCTTGCTTGCGTTTGCTCGTGTTTGCTCGTTGTTGCGTGTGTTTGCTTGATTGCGATCGCTTGCTTGTTTGGTAGCATTCGTTTTGCGTTTGTGTTTGCTGACTGTGTCAGTTCATGATATTCGAATGGCTTGCTTCCAAGCGTACGTGCTTTGATTCGGACAGTTTGCATGCTGGGCTCGATTGCATGATTCGCATGGCTTGCTTACCTGCCTTCGCATGGCGTGTTTGCTTGCTTATTTGCGTGTATTCTGCAGGATTGGTTCCTTGTGGTCGCATGGCGTGGTTGCTACTTGCATATATTCGTGTCGCATGACCTGCTTGCTTGTATTCGTATGTGGCGCACGCATATTTGTGCTCGATGGCTTGATTGCTCCCCTGATCGATTCGCACGTCTTGTTTCCATGCATTATGTGATTGCCTGCTTGTGTGCGCCGGGGTTGCTTGCTCGCTTGCTTTCTTGCCTGCTTGCCTGCATGCGCGTACTCGCATACCCAGCTTGGTTGGCATCGTATGGCTTGATTGCCCGCTTGCTTGTACTCGCATGGCCCTATTGCTTGCTTTCTTGCTTGCCTCTGCTTGATTGCCTTTCGCGCTGATGGCATCCGCATGGCGTGACTGATTGTTGTATCCGCACGGCGTGCTTGCTCGCTTGCCTGCTCAAGCTCGAAGATACTCAAAGCACTTGCTCCTTTGCCTGCTTCCCCGATCGACTGCATACGCATAGCCTCCCTGCCTCCTTGCCACCGCCCACCCGCCTGGCGACCCGCCCCGCCGCCCGCCGGCAGCCTGCCCGCGGCCCGGCGACGACCCGCCCGCGACCCCGTGACGGGCCTGCGACCCGCGCCCGAAGCGCTCCGCCCCGTGACCCGCCCCGCGACCCGCGCCTCTGCCCGTCCCTCTGCCCCTCGGCGATCTGCCCGCGACTCGCCGACGACCCGCGCCGCAACTCGCTCCTGATCGGCGCCTACAGGCTGGCCCTGTTGTGCACGTGCCCTGGCCGCCTAGAAGTCACAAGGCCGCGTGGCAAACAGGCGCAACTCTTCATAGCGAGATACGGAAGCGGTGCACGTGTGGCACCTCCCCGCATCATTGCAGCCCGGATCCGAGTATGCACTCATGGTAAAATTGATCCTGCTCCCTCTCCTCCGTCCTCCCATTCTCTTTTCTTGTACGTCCTCCCACTCCTCCTCCCCACTCTGCTCACCCTGTTCCTCAATCCCTTTTCCTTCTGAATAGCTCCTCCCAACCGCACCCCCAGACGTGTCGGCAGAGCGGGCCGGGCGTTTCGCCTCAGAACTCATCATCATTTATGACCCTGAGACTCGAAAATTGAAAGGTTTTACGAACGGAGGGCGGGCCGCTGCTTGATGTAGCTCTCGCGCTAGCGCCGCACACTGTCGTCTTACGAGTATGCAACAGCTTCACGGATGGAGGGCGAGCGACTTTCAAAATGTGGCTCTCGCCTTAGCGCCGCACAGATTCGTCAAAGTTTGCAGCAGGGTCGAAGATGGGGGGGCGGGCGGTGTTCAAAATGTGGCTCCCGCACTAGCGCCCCACACATTCGTCTTAAAAGTTTGCAACAGTTTCGAAGATGTAATACAGTCCCTTTTCAAAATGTAATGTTTTCCTTGGCGCCGCACGCATTCGTCTTTCAAGTTTGCAGCAGTTTCGAAGATGGAAGGCGGGCGACTTTCAAAATGTGGCTCTCGCACTAACTAGCGCTCCGCACATACATCTTAAAAAATTGCAGCAGTTCCAAAGATGGAGGGCGGTCCCTTTTCACAGTGTGGCTGTCGGGTTTGCGCCGCGCACATTCGTCTTGAAAGTTTGCACCAGTTTCAAAGATGGAGCGCGGGCGGTGTTCAAAATGTGGCTCTCGCACTAGCGCTGCGCACAATAGTCTTAACAGTTTGCAACAGTTTCACGAATCCGCACAGTCAAAATCCCAGCTGTGGTGCTGGCAAGATCTAGGACTGGCCGGACCAAACAGTCACGTTGACTCGCGGCGCTGCAGTCCCCAGCACAGCGTTCTGGCACGAATTCGGATTGTCAGGACGCAACAATCAAGTTGATCCGCGGCGCTGAGGCCCAGAGAAATATGCTTTGGCACGGCTGAGGATTCTCAGACGGTTGTCTTCTAACAGACCACCACCTGCAATGGAAATGAACTCCTTCAGGGACCTATGAAGTGGGAACTTGGACGGAGGGTGGACTGCAACATCGTTGATGCGTCTGGGGTGTGCGATGGTCCTCCTCCTCCCCCTCCTTCTCCTCCTCCTCCTCATCCTCAGCATCATCATCAGCAGCGTCATCATCCTGGCACTCCGTCTCCTCCGCCTGGTCTTTCCCCTCCTGTTTCTCATCCTGCTCCTTCATCCCCTGTCTCCTACTGCTCATCTCATGCTGTCGTCCTCTCCCTCCTCATCCTCCTCACCATCCTTTCCTCCTCCTCAGCATCATCCTTTCCTTCGCGGATATAACGGCCAGCAATTTCTTGTCATTGTGAGCTTCCTCGCTGTTTCAACCATCCCCTCCCCCTCAGCCAACCCTTCTCCTCCATGTCAGATTCGTCCATGTCTTCCTCCCATTCCCATCCCTCCCTCCCTCCCTCTCTCCCCCCTCCCTCCACATCCTTCTCATTCACCACTACCTCTCTAAAACCACGCTGCGCATGATCCCTCGAGATTCGAAACATAGCTCTGGCCGATGCCATGATGAACCTGGAACTGTCATGGCACTCGGCCTAGACATGGCCAGAGGTGAAGAGGGACGAAGATTGTCGAGGAAGACTGTCGAGGAGGAGGAGGAGGAGGAGGAGGAGGAGGAGGAGGAGGGTTCACGCCACAGGCTTTGCCCGAAGGTTTGCCTAACGTCGAACAAGGAGGACGAGAAGGAGGAGGAGGAGGAGGTGGAAAAGCAGGATGAGAAGAAGTGGGGGGAAGCAGCGGGACGAGGACGAGGAAAGGGAGGGAAGGTGGAAGAAGAGGACTGCACACTGGCGACAAAAATCGAGATCCTGCGGACCGATGAGCTCCACGACGCACTGCCTCGGCACCTCCACGGTCCTGGTCTTCCACTCGGTGGCCTTCTCGAACCCGTCTGTTGTGTACCAGTCGTTCGACAGCTGCGCCCAGGCGAAGCGGAAGTCAGCAAGGGGGCACGAGCGGCAAGAAACGGGAGAGCGAAGTGGGGAAGCGGGGAAAAGGGGCGGGACTGGAGAAGCTGGAGGATGAGGAGAAGAAGAAACGCGGCATTTGACCCTTATTTCGCCTCTCCGGCTGACGACATGATACCTCAAAATCCTCCTGGCAATGCTGGAGATGACAGACGCGCGCCACACTGATTGTCCCGAGATGCTTCGTTCAGGGCACACGGCAGGGCCAGACGAAGCAGTACATACATATAGAGAGAGAGGTATAGATAGAGATATGTTTGGCCGCACGCCTCGGCCACCTTCTTCCAGATCATCTCCTCGGCATGCGCTAGCTTGTGCCCCGGGCCCGCGATGCAGCAGAGCTCGCCGGGCGGCGCGGGGCGGGCGCGACGAGAGGAGGAAGGGGAGGAGGAGGAGGAGGAGGAGGAGGAGGAGGAGGAGGAGGAGGAGGAAGAGGAGAAGGAGTAGGAGGAGAGGGGAGGACGAGAAGGAGGAGGAAGGAGGACCGGAGTAAACCCAGGATACCTTAGCGATGCTGCATTACACCCTCCCGTCCCAACTCCCCCTTCTCAGAAGCCCCCACCTCGAAAGTCCCTGCAGGCATCCCGCCTCACAACGAGGAGCACCCCCTGGAAAAGCGGGCGCCCCCTGGGCCTGCCAAGCGGTGGGGAATCCCGCCTCGGGACGCGAGGGCGTAGGACCACAAAGTCCCATGAGATGTCACGCGAGCGACCCGTCTTGACAAGAGTTCGCCCTTCGTCCGTGAAACTGTTGCTCCGGTTTTCGCTTCTGGCCATAACTTTGAAGTCTCAAGTCACAGCCTCACTCTGAAAAAGGACGCGGTCCAAGCTGTCACACAAAGGTACACTTCTGGCAAGACAGCGTCAAGAAGTATCAAGCGATAACAACGTTTTGAAAAGACACCGCCCTCCATCCTTGCAAGTGTTAGAGGCTGTCGAGGCGAATGCGCGCGGCGCTGAGGCAAGATGTACGCTTTGAAAATGAACCGCAATCTATCCGTAGAATTGGTGGGAATTTCAAAGAAACGCCCAGCCCGCCGTCACGACATGCCTGGTGGTGCGACGAGGTGGAGCCATGAAATAGAGAGTCGTCATACTAAAATATCCCAGTGCGACCCTACCTAGGAGTTGGAACCCCTAGGAAAGCAGCATTAGTAGTAACAGTAACGCTAAGCTAAAGCTAAGCTAAAGCTAAGCTAAAGCTAAGCTAAAGCTAAGCCACAGCTAAGCTAAAGCTAAGCTAAAGCTAAGCTAAAGCTAAGCAAAAGCTAAGCTAAAGGTAAGATAAAGCTGAGCTAAAGCTAAGCTAAAGCTAAGCTAAAGCTAAGCTAAAGCTGAGCTAAAGCTGAGCTACAGCTAAGCTACAGCTAAGCTACAGCTAAGCTAAAGCTAAGCTAAAGCTAAGCTAAAGCTAAGCTAAAGCTGAGATCAAGCTAAGCTAAAGCTAAGATAAAGCTAAGCTCGAGCTAAGCTAAAGCTAAGCTAAAGCTGAGCTAAAGCTAAGCTAAAGCTAAGCTAAAGCTAAGCTAAAGCTGAGCTAAACGCTAAGCGAAAAGCTAAGCGAAACGCTAAGCGAAACGCTAAGCTAAAGCTAAGCTAAAGCTAAGCTACAGCTAAGCTAAACCTAAGCTAAAGCTAAGCTAAAGCTAAAGCTAAAGCTAAAGCTAAAGCTCCCAGGAGACTGGGGGGAACCGCGGGGCGGGGACTGGGGGAACCGCCCGGGGCGTGTTGCACTGCCCGGCCCCTTTAAGCTAACAGAGTAAGAACCCTTCTAGGCAGAGCCTAGGTAGGGAAAAATGCCAGCTTCCCGCGTGATGACAAGGGAACACCACGATGCAGCAACTGACCGAGTAGGAGGAGATATGTATAAGGAAGAGGGACGTGGTGGAGGACGACAAGGGGGAGGAACAGGGAAATTATCCCAGTGCGACCCTACCTAGGAGTTGGAGCCCCTAGGAAAGCAGCATTAGCAGTAACGGTAAAGCTAAGCTAAAGCTAAGCTAAAGCTAAGCTAAAGCTAAGCTAAAGCTAAGCTAAAGCTAAGCTAAAGCTAAGCTAAAGCTAAGCTAAAGCTAAGCTAAAGCTAAGCTACAGCTAAGCTAAAGCTAAGCTGAAGCTAAGCTAAAGCTAAGCTGAAGCTAAGCTAAAGCTAAGCTAAAGCTAATCTAAAGCTAAGCTGAAGCTAAGCTAAAGCTAAGCTACAGCTACAGCTAAGCTACAGCTAAGCTAAAGCTAAGCTAAATCTAAGCTAAAGCTAAGTTAAAACTAAGCTAAAGCTAAAGCTAAAGCTAAAGTTAGGGGGTGCAACTGGGGGAACCGCTCCCAGGCAACTGGGGGAACCGCCAGGGGCGGGTAGCACTGCGCGGCCCCTCTTAAGCTAGAGAGTAAGAACCCTTCTAGGCAGAGCCTAGGTAGGGAATAAACCTGAGCTAAGATGAAGCTAAGCTAAGCTAAGATGAAATAAGCTAAGCTAAGATGAGATAAGCGACGCTAAGCTAAGGGGACGTAACTGGGGGAACCGCGGGGCGGATGCCGGGGGAACCGCCCGGGGCGCTTTGCACTGCCCGGCCCCTTTAAGCTAAGAGAGTAAGAACCCTTCTAGGCAGAGCCTAGGTAGGGAAATAGGACCGAGAGAGGGAGGAGGCCGTGGAAAATGAAGAGGATGAGGAGGACGAGGACGAGGAGGACGTGGAGCAGGGAAGAAGGAAGGAAGAAGCAGGAGGAAGGGCGAGGAGGAAGAAGAGAAGCACGACGAGGACCACGAAGGGGGGGAGGGGGGGGGGGCAGGAGGAGAAGGAGGACGGCGACGACGACGACGAGGACGACGAGGATCACGAGGAGGTAGTGGGGAGGAGGGCAAGGAGGACGAGGAGATCGAGGGGGAGGCGCAGCGTTGAAGCGCCCGGTGTCCCCGAGATGATGCCCTGGCCGCCCCAGCGGCACACGTGCCAGCGAGGCCCCGGCGGGCCGTGCCCTGGGCTCGGCCGCCGTTCGGGCAGCACGGGTGGGCTCGAAGCGACCCTCGCGCGACACGCGTCACGCGCTCCTGCGGCTGGGGACTGCTGCTTAAGCGTGTCGCGGCGGCGGCCCTGGCGACACGCTGTGCCCTGCGAGCTGACGGCGCGTCGCTCCGCTCCGCGGGACGGGAGGCTGAGAAAAGCTCGGGACGTTGACGATCGGAGACTGGAACGTGGTTCGCATGTCGCCCCGAAGCGTGGTGGGCCGGAACTGGCGGAGCGACACGCTGAGCCGAGGTTCCTGACCGCACTCCTGGAGAAGGGGCGTCCGAAAGGGCTCGCGTACTCAGGGTCTTCTCAGATTATCCTTGGCGGAGTCCGAAACAACAAAAACAACAAGTTAAAAAGAACAGAGAGCTCTGGAAACATTCGGGGGCCTCTGGAGGCCTCCGGGGGTCTCTGGAGGCCTCTGAAGGTATCCAGAGACCTCCAGGGGCCGAGCTCTGCGAGGTATTAGCATGCGAGCGGTGGCGAGACTCGCGAAGGAGCCGAGCGAATCACCAAGCCAGGTGCCACCCTATCGGACGTAATCGCTTAAGCGAGTGTGGCATTGAGAGTTCAGAGCCTCGCTGTGGTCAGTCGCCCGCCTGCCCACGTCCTCACCGCCGCCATCCGCCACGCTGGAGGCGCCTACCTCGGCAACTCGATGACCGCATCTTACGCAGCACGCGACATGTGGTCGACCATGGTCCCGACTCACTTTGGGACCTGGACTCGAACGAGTGGCTTCCATAGGCGCGGGGCGAGGGCGGAACGGAGCGAGACAGCGAACGACGACTACAACACGCAGGAAAAACAGAGCCAGGTTTCAGACCTGTTGGCGAAAGAGGTTGGAATAACGATGGTAACACCGATGCCCATGACATGGTATCGGCTTCAACGCGATGATGAGAACGCACTGCTATCGAAGCGTGTGCGGGCTACTGCCGATACACCCAAGCTCAAAGGCCCCGAAAATGCTCGGACAAGCGTGTAATACGGAAGTGTCCTAAGTGTTGCCCTCGACCCTCGACAATCGAACAGGAATGTGGTTAGACGGTTTTGGGGGTATGTTTGGCAAGTGCTTATTGGCCCGAAATAACTTCAGGGGCTTCCAGGGGCTCTGGAGACCTCCAGGGACTTCCAGGAACATCTGGGGGGCAGGACCCGGGCGGCAGCAGAACTTACCGTACGGAGGCGTGAGCGTTTCTCCCCCGACGAACTGTGCAACTCCTCTGCTACAATACACGGCATGACGCACGCTTGGTTGCTCGCCAGCCAGCTGCCATTCCACACAGATCAGCACCATAACTGATATGTGTAGCACCCATGCAACATTGCTCTGGTATGTACGTCCACAACGTCAAGCTTCGCTCTGCACACGAATGGCACGCGAGCGCAATCCCGGAACCGACCAGACGCCGAAACTGACTAGCCTCCCTAATCCTCTTCATAATCCTCCGCCCTCTTTAGTCAGCATCCTCATCCTTATCATCCTTATCATCATTAGTTTCCTCCTTCTCCTCCATCCATCCTCCCACCCTCCCTCCCTCCATCCCTCTCTCCCTCCCTTGCGCTGCCTCAGACGTAACGCCCCTACCGGGAATTGCAAACCCACACCAGGCGACTCCACGGCCGCTGCCCCCCCCCCTGCCCCCGTTTAGCGACCTACCAAGCCACCCCAATCCAACCCGCAGTCACCGTTGGGTTCGTCGATTTCTCGTGGGGGCCCACTCCAGAACATTGAGGAAACAGGATGGAAGCCGTACACCCCCCAACCCGATATGTGGGATGGTCCAGGGCCTTCGAGTTGGATGGGGGTGGCTTGGTTAGTAGTGAGCCCACTTCATTCACACTCCTCTAACGCACAGACATCGCGCCAAGGATTGGACGCGACCCTGGCGTTCTGCGCAACCCCGTCGCGCGGCAGCCGAACGACGCGCCAGGGATGCCCGAGCGCCACTGCGGACCGCGCAGGTCATCGCACGGGGCTTCCGCGCCGCGCAACACCGCGGATGCCGCCCCACACGCCCAGGAACTGCTTTAGCACAAGCACTACAATCAAGACCAGTCCACAAGAAACCCATCGCAAGAAACCCTACCCTGACAATCGCAGGGGTTGGGTTTCTCGCTTGGCAGCTGACGGCAAAGAAACTCAGGGTACCCTGGACCAGGCGGTTTCTTGATGGTTCGCGCAAAGCATCTCAGCGTCAAGACGCTCAGGGGACCCCACCAGCTGCGGGTTCTCCCCGACCGCTGCAAGCCTTCAATGCGAACATAAACCAACGAAACCTAAGGTACCTGACAAACGTATGGTGTCTCTTGGCATGGGCTCCCACTGTAGGGGCAAATATTCCCAATCCGACTCATAACCCGCCCGCTGCTCCGTTCTTTCCCCAGCCTACAATGCCTCAACCGCCTGCCCGAGACGCCGCTGCAGCACATTGTGCAGAGCTACCTACCGTGGTTACCTACCCCATCTTTCTCACACTCGCTCTTTCCAAGCACGGCGCAGGAGGCACGAGCGGACTGCAGGTGCCAGAAGATGCTGCCCAGACGACTGTCTCCAGCAGCAGTTACCAGCCGACGTTGCCAGCAGACATTGGCCACCGGCCTCTGCAAGCAGCCCTTGTTTTGTGGACGGTGTCAGTAGACGTTGCCAACCAGCCAGTGCCAACACCCGCCCAGTGCAAAGCTGGCCAACAATTGTCCGCAATCGTTGCCCAGAGCGCCAGCATGTTCAGCCAGTCATCGCCAGCCGCACGGCCCGTTGCCACTTTAGATTAACCGCCGCCAACGCCAACCTCTGCCAGCCCTACTGCGACAGCCTGTGCAAGTTCGCGCCAGCGCAGCTCCTCGGCATCCTCCGCTGGCGCCTCGTCGTCATCTGCGGACGCTCTGAGGCGCCTCCGCAGACACTGTGTGCGGAGGACACTCAGAGGAGGAGTGCCAGGTAGTTTTCCGCGTCGGGAAGCAGAACCACACATGTCAACACAGCCACGCGAGCAGTTGTCCTGCACCCCTGAGCTTGTAGGGCCCCACGTTCCACATTCAGCCTGGGCCCTGGGCCCCAGGCTGCAGATCTGAAGGAGTCCTGCGCATCCCCAGTGCTGAGGCTCAAGCTTCCACATACGGTCCGGATTTTTGTTTAGCGTGTCGCGGCGGCGGCCCTGGCGACACGCTACGCATTGCAAAATGATAGCGGGTCGCTCCGCTCCCCAGGGCCAGGCGATGGGAACCGCTCGGGACGCTGATGCCTGGGGATTGGACGTGGATAGCGTGTCGCGCGAAGGCGTGGTGGGCCAGAACTGGAGGCGCGTTACATTAAGCCAAAGCTTCCGACCTTATTCCACATCTTCCTTGTTGCCGTTTGCGCCCGCCATCGGCATTGGAAGGACACAACACTTGGCGGAGCAGATTCTCGCGAACCAACTGGGAACGAGTAAGCCAACAGGTAGACTCACTGCTGCAATGCCCGCACACGTCCGTGCTCACTTGGCCGACAAGATTGACCGATCCTCGCTCGCGAGCAATTAGTTCCGCAAGACTGCATGAATTGGAACAGCTCTGTGTGGCCGCCCCTTCGCAGGCGAGAGAGCATGAGCTCAGAAGAAAGGTCAATATGCCGAAGATGCTGAATGGAACCAACCAACGCTGGGGCGAGACCCCGCAGTCTCTCTCCGCTCTTTGAGTCTTCCTCTGCCTCGTCCTCAGCGTCGTCTTCGGCCGCCCGTTCGGACACTGCTCCATAGTTGACCCAACAGCAGGCATCAGAAGAACCAACGCCACCTATTGGCGGTACTTGTAGATAGGTGGGAATTCTTGCTGCCGCTCGCTTCGATCGGATTTAACCGCATGGGTGATGTCGCTGCATCACATTGAGACTCTATAGCGCGCCAGTGCATTAGAATCGCTGCAAACACAGTGCAGGGCCTGGTCCTGGCCAGGCAGACCAAAGGAGAGCATTCGCATGAGCTCCGCCACGAATGAGTTTCTCACAATGTCACTGGTCAGTTCTGCGTGGCAGCGGCATCACTTGACCATATGTTTGTGCAAATTCCCGCGCGGCACCCTGCGCCTGCCGTTCACTCTAGCCCGGCCGCCGCTTGCTAACAACAGCCGTGCACACCACCGCCTACAACTAACTCCCGGCGCCGCTACACCACAGCGACACCAGGCAGTAAGGGCCACAACTGCCAGCCACCTGCCCGCAGCAACGTCTGACACCGTCGTAACCGTCACCGCTGCGACCTTACCACGCCAACGGTAAGGCAGCAGATATCTATGACGGTATGATGCGCAATCAGGTTGACATGCACGCTTGACTTCAGCGACAGAGTCCGCCACTGCCAGCTTCCGCCCACTGCCTGCGCCATCCTGCCAGAGCGGCAACCTACCTGCCAGCTGGTGTTTGTCAGCTCTCCGTTTGCAAATCGGATTGGTCCCTGTCGCTGACAAGTGTATTGTTTGGTCTCGTATACGCAAGTTGCATGCCCGACTGACTTGTAAACACGTGCTTCGCACTCATAGCGCCAGGTGCTCTTGTGGCTGATGTCTTCCATAGCCGTAGCGTGCGGGCCAGTTACGGAGATGTCTGCGGGCTCGGTCTGTGCCACTGTCGGCCCCGCACGGCGAGTCCCTGAGTGGCAGACCCACCCCCCTGTTTGTGTGTGCCTGGCTCTCCGCCCAGCGGCGACGAGGAAGACGACGACAACGACGAGGACGACGACGACGACGGCGACGACAAGGGACGACGACGGCGACGCCTCGTCCTCGGCCGCGTCCTCGCCGTCCTCGTCCTCGTCGTCGCCTGTGTGTGTGTGTGCTGGGCTCCCCTGCCACCACTTGCAGAATGGCGTGCCCTCACGCCCGCCCTGCTCGACAGCTGCAGCGAGGGCAGCGGGCTCTGGCATGATAGGCGTGCGTGCGCGCCCTCACGGCAACGTTCCCGCTGGCCACCTGATATCATTCTGCTTCGGCGCGGCGATTTTTGTCTGGAGGCATGCACAGGTCGGCCTCGACCGCTGCGCCATTTTCAGCAGCTTCGCCAGCTAGTAGTCTCATCACCTCTTCGGTGCTCCAGCCTGCCAAGACCGTAGCATCTCGTAGCTCAGCCTGCTGCGTTACCCCTCACATGCCACGGTGTCGCTGAGACGCTAAGGTCTGCCAAGACCACAGCATCTCGCGGCGCAGTCCCCTCGTGAAGAACCAGGCATGGAGGGAAGCACAGGAAAAAAACAGTACCAGGCAAAGTCTCCTCAAAATGGGCTCTTGTTCCTTACTGTGCGGGCCAGTTGTTCTAAATCGTTCGCGCTTCATCTCAGGTGATCACGTCTGCCTGGGCCGCAGCATCTCTTCGGCTCCAGCACGGCGCCCCGTAGAGGCAGCGGTGAGCCCCACCACAGCGCCTCTTCCAGCAGAATCGCCACATGATCACTCCGATCGCATCGCTGCGCGCCTTTTCTGTGTCGGTGTCCCTGTTCTGTCTTCGCTTGCTCCAGGCCCAGCACCGCCCTCCAGGCCAGTCCCAGCGGTGCCTTTGCGAAAGAAGCCCAAGTCGCGCGCCCATGCTCCAGGTTGCGCCCCCTGCTCTGCAAGAATCTCCGCCCAACTTGGTAGGCAGACCTGCTGCTTAGAGGCACGCTGACGCAATACCCCGTTCGAGTCAGAAGCCCTCCTTCCCTGCCTCCCGCCCTCCCTGTCCAGCCGTCCCAAGAAGTACGCCACGAGGGGGATCTACTGTTGCATCAGCATTCATCCTAAAACACATCCTCAGCCTGCTCCCCTATCATCCTTGTCACCATCACCACCACGATCATTCGCATGCGTACCTACGTTTTGTCTTCTGCTCCTACTCCTCATCCTGCTCCTAAACCTCCTCATCATCATCATCACCATAATCATCATCATCATCATCATCATCAGCAACAACAGCATCAGCATCATCATGATATTCAGCATCAGCATCATCATCTCCGTCAGCAGCATCATCATCGTCAGCAGCATCATCATCATCAGCATCATCATCGTTATCAGCATCAGCAGCTTCATCACCACCATCATACGCAGCATCAGCATCATCAACAACAACAAACAACAGAAACGACAAAGGAAACGACAGCAACGACGATAACAACAACAGCAGCAGCAACAACCACAACCACCATGAAAACAGCGAGCGCAACAGTGACAGCAATAACAACAGCAGCAGTACCAACAGCAAGACAAACAACAACGTAATCAGCATCACAAACTATCATGATCATCATCAACACCATCACCAGCATCGTCATCGTCATCAGCATCATCACCATCCTCATAATCATCATCAGCATCCTCATCATCAACATCGCCATCCCCGTCAGCAGCAGCATCATCTTGAACATCGTCATCATCAGCATCATCATCATCATCAGCATCATCAGCATCGTCATCATCATCAGCATAATCATCGCCGTCACCGTCAGCATCACCATCATCTGCATCAGCAGCAAAAGCCTCATCATCAGCATCAGCATCATCATCAAGATCATCCTCAGCAGTGTCATCATCATCATCATCATCATCATCATCATCATCATCATCAGTACAATCAACATCATCATCATCAGCATCGTCGTCACCTTTACCATCAACAGCATCGTCATCGTCGTCATCACCGTCATCGTCATCAGCAGCCGCAGCAGCAGCTGCAGCAGCATCATCAGCCTCATCATCATCATCATCAGCAACATCATCATCATAATCAGAATCATAATCATCCTCATTATCAGCATCAGCAGCTCATCATCATCATCATTGTCGTCAGCAGCATCAACATCATACTCTTCAACCTCATCAACCTCATTAAACTCATCATGAGAATCAGCATCATCATATTAATCATCATCAGCATCATTAGCTGCATCGTTAATATCCGATTTCCGCATCACCAACCTCGCTCTGTAAATCATGCCCCTTCTGCTCAATACCAAGCCCCCCATATCAAAGATTCGCACAGGATCGCCTGCTGATCCTCGTTGCCATTCGGATAGCATTCTGACGCCTGGCCACGGGCAGACATGATGGAGCCACTCCTGCCGAGTCTCCTCACGTATCCTCCTCCTACCCCTCCTGCTCAACCTGCTCCTCCTCCTCCTCCTCCTCCTCCTGCTCCTCCTCCTCCCAACGATTCAGAAGGACCGAATAGACCCCAGGTAGGTGTGAGGTTTGAGGAAAAGGGGTTGAGCACTTGCCAATAACAGCGCACTCCAGATTTTCAAAGAAAAACTACTGTGACCCTGGGGTGGTCCAGACAGGCTAGTAGACAAAATGGCAGAATCAACCTGTGTGTAACATTGATTCGGATCAGCCTGTGGGCATACGAACCCGGCCGCATACTCCGAAATATACATGCACGCCCCTGGTAGCAATCAGGGAGGGGAAATCCAACATGAAATCGTTCGTTCCTCCTCCTCCTCTCCTGACGATGCAATAAAATTGCATGTGCACAAATATGAGGGAGACCAACCCAAAACTGACCAGGTTGCTATGGGCTGCGCGTGAAGGAGCTGTGGGCCAGCAAGGAGAAGCCATAACATACAAAGTGGCGCGTGCACGGAACAGCGCGTGCACAAAACAGACTGCTCAGGATCATGTCGACAGCAAATTGGCTAGCCCAGGATGCCTGGAAGAAGAACCTATCCCGTGGGCGGAGCCTATGACCACGAAACATCCGCGCACACTCATCACTAATTCCCTAGGGCATGAATAAATAAGACCCCGAAATACAAACACTGATTGGGAAAGTGTTCCGTGCAAGGCGCCGTTACACGGCTGCCATGCTGGAGGATGTGTTGGTCCCAGTGAGATGGGTCGTGTCTCCCTTGCCTTTTTCACCCCCCTTGATCATCATCAGCGCCATCACTCTGCATCCCCGTTCCCATGCCTACCTTCTTGAAGGATATGCTGGTCCCACTGATGTCGCCCATGTCCTTCAGGTTGTACGCCCCCGGACCCATGATCTGACTCACCAGGTACTGTGGCACCTCGCAGAGGAAGAAGGGAAGGATCGGACTCTGGTGCCTGAGTCGTGCCACAGCTGGCATCGGCAGCTCGGGACGGCTTCCTCCGCCACCACTCCATCATCCGCCTTTTTATCCTTGTCATGTTTCTTCTCCCAGGCTGACTCGTTCCCACATCAGGCGCTTTCCAGTGAAGCCGCATGCTTGCAACTACATCTCTCCAATGTGGGGTTCCGCACGGGCACAAGGGAATGGTTCAGGAGGGGAGCCACAGCACGCCTGCGGGAAACCCCTGCCCACTCAGGGCTTCAGGTCCCCAAGTCGGCTCGGGGCCGACCAATGCTGATGGAGGAGGATTATGACGCTAATGAGGCCCATCCTCTCCCTGAAACTTGCAAGTACTCGATGTGTGGAACGCCTGCGGGTCTGCTCAGCCATGCATACGAATACCCCCCTGCGGGGGATAAATTCACTACCCTCCCCCCCTCGTCAGCGCCGACACGAAGATGGATGCACTGAATCCATCGTAAAGCCAGCTTTCGGCGATACCGGGAGCAATGCCCCGAATCCGTCGTAACGCTGGCGGCCGGCGAAACTTCGAGTTGAGTCGCAACCTAGTGCCATTTTACCACCTCCAGCTCACCAAGATCGGCGGCGAGACCAAGGGCGAAGTGAGAAAGAGAAGGCCTTGTCAGAAGGCTTGGAAGACCCCCGGCCTTCTAAAGTTGTCTTAGCCTTCCCCGAAGACACCGAAAACCTCTCAAAGGCGCGAGGGCTTCTGAGAACTCTAGCCGCCTTCTGAGAAGGCCTTCTCCTTCTCACTACCCCCCCTCGCTCGCCGCCGACCAGGGTCAGAGCCCGAGGTCGAGCACGAACACAGAACCCGGCCACCATTCGCGGGAGAAGGCCGGGAACCCACGACGGATCCACCGGGTGGCGGGAGCCGACACCAGGGATCAGAGGACCGTGCGTGTTGGCAGGGCCTCACAGCTTCCCCTTGTAAGTCTGCGGGCCCCCACGCTTCGAGCGGCTGGCTGCGATACAAGCGGGACGAGAGGCATACCAGGACGGGGCAACCATTCTACCAACAAACGCTCTTCGCCTGTCGCCTGGCGTTGCACGGGCAGGCCTGTCGGCGAGGTCTGGAGCTAGAGCCAGCCGCGTGACACCACGCCAGATGGCGGCATAACTGGAAAATCGCCCACGACAACAAAACAGATCCTGCCGTTTGCTCCTCCAGTTCCTCTCCATCCTCCTCATCCTCCTGCTCCTCATCTTCATCATCATCAACAGCAGCAACAGCATGTGGTCCCGGAATTGCCCAGAGGCGGGTTGTGCTATGCTGTTTTCGAGGGGGGCCCTGAAATCCTCTGCCATGGCAATGCCCTGCTATGGCCCCCCCTTCCTCAGACCCCTCAGGCCGCTGAGGTGCGTGGGCGCCTGTGGCAGGCCAGTTGGTCCTTCCTGGGATATTTGGAGTTTCGGATTATTTAATTATTGCTCGCCAGATTAACTCTCGAAATAGAGAACGGCTGTCTGACAAGCGACCGCACACTGTTTGTTCCATGGTCCTGGAAGGAAGCCTCCTGTCACGCACGAGAGTGAAAGGTCGCCAGCAGGACAGCCCCGCTTTAACAGACACCCAGAAGTATCATAAGTTCAGTAATGACCCTGCTGATGCCTTTGCGAAGGTTGGCGCTAGCCGCCATCGCCAGCCATCCGATGAGCAACAGCAGCGGTGAGACTGCAGACCCCGCGTTTCAAAGTTTGCGTGCGCTTTCTCGGCTGCTCTACTGTCGCCCTGGCCAGAATCAGGTCTATCCGAAGCAACGCGTCAGAAACGCCCTATGGAGAGAACACCTCCTGGCGAGGGTTGGGCGCGGCGGCCTTGGCAATGCGAGAGATGCTTTCGAGGTTCCAGAGCGGCTGCGCAGCCCGAGCCTGGCAGATGTCACGGCGGACCAGGCACGGGCATCCGTGAGGTCACCATCTGTTCTTGCTGATTGCCAGAAATCACAGTTCCCTGCACATGTGCATGCGCTGCAGATCGGATCCTGGGTTAGGAATTTGTTGTTTTAAGGGTGATCAAAATGTTAGAAGTGGTCCAGAGACTTCGATAAGAGGGTCTTTAAAACAATCCGATTCGCTCAATGGCAAGGCCTATGGGGGGCAATCCAAATTCCTCAATGGCAAGATCTGTGGGGGAGCTGGGCGGGCGCGCGGTCGGGCGCGCGGCCGGGCTCGCGAGCGGGGCACCCGGGCGCGCGGGCGCGCGGGGGGGTGCGCGGGCGGGCGGACGCGCGGAAGGGGTGGGCGGGCACGAGACTCAGGCGGATTGCAGGCAAGAGCTGCGGGCCGGGGGTTTGCGCATTGGTTGTTGGGCGCGGAGCTCGTCGGGGGGGGGGCTTGTAGCGGCTGCGAGGGTTTGATTGAATTCTACGGCGCCGACGCTGGCCGCGGGGCGGTAGCCGCCGGGGCCCAGAGCTCAAACCTGCGCGTCGGGAGGTGGGTATTCTGGAGAAGGGTTTGGCTTAGTTATGCGGTTCGGGTTCTCGGGGTTGTGTTTTTAATGGCTTGTGCGTCGAGGCTACTGTTCCAAGTTTTGGGTCTTGCGCCTCGGGCGCGCGGGATCAGTTCGCGGGTCCCGGATCTCTGGCTCGCAACTTTCACGGCGGGGGCGCAAGGGCTGGGGCATGATGCCTCGGGAGGAGGGGCGCTACAGTCAGGAGGTGAAGGCTCGGCCGGAGGCTGGGGACTCCGAGGTTTTCGGTTGGTTATCATGACTCGGCTCTTGGGATTGCGGTTTCAGGGTTAGCGTCTTGGGCCGGGGTCTCGCGATCGGGCCCGACACCTAGGACCATGCGGTTAGGAACTGAGGGTTTCTTGTGCACAAGTTAAAAATATTCTGGCCACGGGCTGCAGGGTTCGTGTCTTTGGGTCCACGGCCCAGGGTCAACTCAAGTTTTTGGCACCAGGGAAGGGGATCGTCGGGTTCAGGTTCCTCGGGCTCGGGTCTACGATGTAGAGCCTCACCAGTACTGTTCTGAGGTTGTGGTCCTGCGTTCGGAGCGCCAGGGCGCGGGTGCCTTGGGCCCGGGCCATATAGGGCGTGGGCCATAGGTTTTGGGTCTCAGGGCATTACAGACCAGGTCAGGGTTCGCAGGGCATCGAAGACCGCGCCAGGCCAGAGGCATCGGCATTGCGGCTTGGGTCGCACGCTCCGAGCATCTCCGGCCAGGGCACTTCGGCGAGCGTGTCCTGGGTCGGGGTATAAGCGACGAAGTCTTCGCTGCATGGCCCCCAGTGTCGCGAATTAAAACTGGCGTCGTAAGTCTGTGCCATTTACGGATGGGATAAATGCGCCACACCAGCATGACTGATGTCAGCACTGTCGCAGAGAGGCGCGCGCCAGGAGGGAACGCGCGCGACGGCGGCGAGCCGGGGCGGGAGACGGAGCAGCAGGAGAGAAGCGCGATTTAAGAGAGGGGGGTGGAAAAGGCGATGCTCCAGCTGGTTTCTTGCTGAAGCGATTTAGCAATGCGTCTCCGCATATGTCCGATGACCACTCTTACGCGCATCTGCATCCTGGCCTGTTGCGAACTCGCGATGGCCGGACTCACCGCGCGGGCACAGGGGGATGCGCCGCGAAGCATGACTGGGAGACCGCACGTTCGGCGCCGCCTTCCCTGACCACTGGGGGCTCGAGACGAATGGGTTCATCTCATATCCATGCTGCATCGCGGCGCAACGCAAGCACTCATGAAATCAGTTACGCATCAGAGAGGAGGGGGCCGCGGGGGAAGCCGATGAGGTGCGCGGCGCACGCCGGGCTCCGCCTAAGCTCTGGCGCTCCAGCACAAGTTGTCACGTTTGAAATTCTCGCGCCTGGGAAGCGCGCGAGGGGGGGCCGCTCCTCGCCGCTGCTCGCCGCGCGGTCCCAGCGCCATCCTTTACCCAGAAAGTTCACCCTCCTCTCCCAGGCCATGCGCCCCCCCCTTCACCCACTCACCCACCCCGCCTTCCACCGGCACACCCCCCCTTCTTCCTCCATCACCCACCCGGGCCCCCAGGGAGGGGGGCGAGGACGCATCGCGGCGCTGTCGCGGCTGCACAGCGCAAGCGCACGTGCTCCGCGCCACGCCTGCATGACAGAGCGACGCCGTCGGTGGTTGGGTGGGCGATGCCGGTGGCAAAATTCACCAGCCATTGTCATCGTTCGACATCCTCTGCTTTGCCCCCGCTCACCTCGCCCGCGACGTCCCGCACCTTGCCCCCGCCCACCTCGACCTCTTTCCCACTGACGTCGGCGGGCGGAGCGCGGACTCTTTGCCGCGCTCGCATGCGTCTGCGCCCTCAGGGGGGGCCCGGCGACGCGCCGCCGCGGCCTGCAGCAGTCTCAACCCGAGCGCCGCGGGCGCATCCGGGAAGCACGCCTTGAACCAGGTGCTGCCGGCAACTCCCAGCACATCGAGCGCCGCGCCTTCGCGGCGGAACGCGCCCTGGAAGTGGCCCAGCCCAGCGTTGTCGAGCATGCGCTCCGCGCGCCTGTCGCGTGCAGGCGTCACGGGGCGACGCGGGCGTCGCGTCGGGCCCTGGCTCGCAAGCGCGCTGGCTTCTGTCTCGCGGCCTCAGAGGAGGGCCGGGGCGGGGGATGTCAGGCCAACCTCATCGCTGCGTCTCCCGTGGCGTTGCGGAATATTCGCTGCGCCCCGAGCGCCGGGACGCCCGCTCAGGCAGTCCGCCTACCAGCGCTCGCAGGCCCCCCATGCGACCGCCACTGGATGCCAGGCGCACTGAGTTTCCACGCGCAGCGCCTCTGCTTCGGGGGCCTCGGCAGGGCGGCGCCAGAACTGCCTCGACCTGGGCCCGGCCACCAACGACACTTTTCCTATGACCGCCCTGAAGAAGGGGCCCTCGTCATCCGCCGACGGGTCGCCACCGCCCAGCGCTGTCAGCGCAGCGCGCAAGTCCTCCTCCGACGTCGCTCGCAGCAGATTGCCCATTTGCCGCGATTGCGCCGCGGG